TCCCTCGGCATTGTCTACTTTGACTAGGCATCCACCTCCTATAGAGCTATCTTTTTCTCAAGTTTATATCCTAAAGGCATACCCTAAGGCACTAAAAGATATTAAGTGGAAACAAACTATGGATATTGATGTAATTGCCATGCCAAATCAGTATACACGGGAACTAGTTGCCCCTCCTCCTTGGTGCCACTTGAGAATCATCTTATAGATTTCTCGAAGCATGCCTTGATTGCATATATTATTGTTTCCATATGTTCTCTCTCACATGAATTCAATAATATCACTTTCAAGAATACATAGGTTATGTACCCGTGTTTATTGGTGTTCTAGCCGAACCATGTCAAACCTTCTTTTCTCCAAATATATGGAAAACTTTATATTGTTGCAAACTATCAGTTGCAAGCCCAAATTCTTGTCTGAAGTCATTGATCTTGTGTGAAATCAATGATGGGTGGTACCCAACAAAAAAAGTTTAGAAGTTGGTAAAATGTGCAATAAACACCATCGTAGAATAAACGCCAATATAGTTTTTCTATCCTCAATTTAGAAAAATTGATGTAAGGTACTCTTATTTTCAAATCCTTGTACAACTCAAACAATATTTAGCAGTTGCACAAACACTGCATTCTTGCTAGGTATCAAATTTGCCACAGATGAAATTACTGTTGAAATATTTCAAACCTGAGCTTTATAGAGTAAGTTGTTTATTAAGGGGTATGATGCTATGTAGAAAGTCAAGTCAGATATGGCATCAAAAGTAACAGTAATTCCTACAACAATAAAATGAATTTTTTCGACAACCAAGAAAGATCATTAAAAAAGCAGGATTCTAGTGCAGTTACCACGACTAACCCACTTGACGAGACATCTGGAACAGTGGACCATATCAAAGGACCTTGATGGATAAGGAAGACGAAAGATAGATAAAACTCCTAGCATTGCAGGCAAACCACGCTCCAGGGCAAATTGTACTTGAGCTTCATGTTGATCTCTTGGTGCAACAGACATTGTCAACACATTATAATCCAGTAGTTGGTTACCAAAGCTCGCAACCTGTTTGTAGTAAACTAGTAATTAGAAAAGAAAAACCAAAGTTATTATGACACTTAATAATACTTGGAATAAATAGAATTCTGTCAAATTTGATGCAAAACATAATCTTAAGTAAATAAGAAGATGAAGCATTGCATAAAATAAACAAAAAGGAGTATTTGTAAAACAAAATATATTCATACCATATCAATAGAGAAGTGGCAATCTATCTATGTCATGCACACAATCATTTCTAAAATTTTTGAAAGGGGGATAGTTGGCAAACCTGACACAGTATCTAATTTCTTTTATAATTTTCCTAGTATTGGGGTACCTAAAAAGGTATACTTGGATTAACCAACTATTGAAGCATGCAAGAAAACATATTAGTGGTGTGAGTCAAGCTGACACGTGAGTCAACTAGAACTCAACTTGATATATGGCTTATGAGCTAAACTCGATAAGCTAATGAACCAAGTTTGAGCCAACATTGACCCGAATCGTTAACTCACAAGCTAGCTCATTTAATATAAAATATATTAGAATTTAGGAGTTCAGGTATTAAACTATTAAAAATATTTAAAATTATTTAACTTTTAAGTGATTATTTAATATTTATCTTCTAATTTCTCAATTTTTTTATAATTATTTTCTCTCTTTTGCTATAAATGAGCCCGCTCGTGAGCTTGCGCTCGAACTACAGTGTTGTGCTCATGAGTGAGACCCAATCATAGATATTTAACATGCCTTGTCATAGCCTTCTTTAACCAAGATTGCAATACAACCACCATTGGCCATGTATAGTCGCTATCCTAGCTTAAACAGTATCAAGCTTAATCAACCTAAATGCAAGCTTAGCTCATCTATAGAAGGCTTGAATGGCTTTGAGCCAATCTTCAGAGGGGTCAAATCTACACTTCAGTGTTGTGCTCTTAAGTGAGACCCAATCATAGATATTTAACATGCCATATCATAGCCTTCTTTAATCAAGATTGCACTACAACCACCATTGGCCATGTATAGTCGCTAACATCACAAACATCTACAATGTTTATAATCGACATGAATGAACCATCTAACACCGTTGGCTTTGCCTATCCTAATTGGCCAAAGAGACCTTCCGACTAAAATCTCTCAAATTATTTGGAGGTGGACCACACTTGAACTAATTTTCTACAATGGTTTTCCATCCAAGATTTTCCACATCAAAAATCTTCCTCAACTCCTTTATTTGACCAATTTTGTGTGAGATATCTGAAATAGCTAAGTTGATTCAGATTCACCCTCTTTATCTCTCTAACAACTAGACCTTCAGCAAGCAGCATTTTTCAATCCTATAGTTCATGCCACTCGGTTAATCTTCAACATGTCTTAATATATAAGATCATACATTCATCGACTTCATCCAAATTTATGAAAATAATGATGAAAAGTAAAGATCTCAAAACAGACAAGCAGCGCCAGCCACAAAAAACACTTACTCCACATCCGATGTCTAGCACCGTACGAATCTCCCCGGTCTTCAACGGCACCAGCTTGGAAATCTGCCCCACATACGACTCCACTCCGTGAGGGAAGGACGTGCCACCCCCAGGAAAAACAAACTTATCCCCTTCAATTCTAATCCAGTTCTGATCAGCCTTGTGCACGGTGAGCTTCTTGAAGGGCACATTAGTGAACCAAACGCTGTGACGGCTCTCTGGCCACGGGATGGGAGCACGGTAGCCGCGAGGGCGAGGGACGCGACAGGGAGGAGAAGGCCGGTCGGCAAGGAAGGGGCAGTGGCGGCCATGGTGAGAGAAGTGCATTGTAGGGTAGAGGCGCTCGCGGTTGGGGTCCTGGCATGGGCAGTAGTGAGTGAAGTTGGCGGAGCAGAAGGGAATGGAGGGGAGGTAGGAAGCTGGAAGCGGGATGAGAGAATCGGCGTCGTGACGGGGGAGGAAGTCGAGTTCGGCGGCTAAGGAGGAGGAGAGGCGAGGTAAAGGGGAAGAGGGGGGATGAATGGAGCATTGGAAGAGGGAAGGAGGCGAGGAAGATGAGAAAAGGAGAGAGGAGAAGGAGAGATGGTGTATGCCGATGAGGTAGGATAGGAAGAAGAGGATCGAGGCGAGGAAAGCGAATGCTAGGGTTTTTCCACTTGGGCTTGGGAGCATGGAGGGAAGTGTCAGCCTCGCCATTTCTCTTTTTGACCGAATCTCTGTTTCAATTTTCTACAGGATAACGGACTTTCTAATTTCTAGCCATGAAAGAGCTTTATTGCGGTTTCCCGTTTCCATTCCATTATATTACTTTTTTTTAAAAATAAAACTCACTTGACTTTTTTAATATTAAAAAATCTTTAACTTTCACATTTTAAACACTCAGTAGAAATGAATAGCCGAGCCAATTTCAATTCAGAAGCTCACAAATCAAGTTTATCAAACCTCAAGCTGAGCTCAAATTAAAACTATTATATTGTACGAGCTCCAATTCAAGTTCATTTTGATTTGACTTGTTGGGTCTTGAGCAGTACAAATTATCAATCCTAAATCATATAAGTCATTCGATCTCAATCTCTCATCGCTTTCATTGATGCCTATTTGAGCTCAAGCTTTAGTCCCATCAAAACTGTTATTATTTCAAATGTCACATGATGATAAGCTGCCTTCTCCAAATCCTTGGAAGGTCTTTGGGCAACCAGAGGTTGAGCTGATTCTAGTTTTGATTGTTAACACAAAATTCTGAGTCCGAGCCAGCTTTTTAGCCTTTTTTCTTTGATAATGGTGTTCTTGTTTTAGTTGCCCTTTTTGTGGCCTCTTATGTACTTTTTATGCTCTTTTTTGTTTTAGCCAAAAGCAGTTGGAGAGGTGGTTCTTCTTATGGGGGCACCCCCTTAAAAAAAATTCCATATAAAATTTTGCAATCATCGGAGAAAAAAAAATTTACTCTCCTCTCCTCTCTCCTCTCTCCTCTCTCTCCCTTTATCTATTGTCATTTTTTTACCAACAACCTTTTGTTATTTTGTACTATTAAAATTTTTAATTTTTTTACCACCATCTCTCTTATAAGGTTACCTTTTTTGTTGATTTTTATTACAACATCTTAAATCTTTTTTTTTTCCATTTATATTTATCTCTTTATTTATATATTTACTCATTTTAATCATTTATCTTCACATTAGCTTAAAATTTAAAATTTCTTGAATTTTTTATTATTTTAAAATCTTCAAATTCTCTTTTGTAAGAATTTTATATAATTAAAGCCAATAAATTACACTAAAGAAAGATTAAAAAATTTAAATTTAAATCAAGTAACTTAAAATATGCTAATTATCAATTTTTATATATTTTTATACTAATAAGATGCAATTTTTTTTATATTTATTGCTCATTATAAAAATTTATTTAATAATTTTTTTATTTAAATTAGATATAAAATTCTAAAGTTAGATATTTAAAAAAAATTAAAACTCTAAAATTAATTTCAAGCTCGAATGAAAAAATTTGAAGATATTTTTCAAATTAAAAATTTGTGCCCCACTAATAAATAATCCTGACTTCGCTAGTGCATGTTTCATTGATGTCTTTTTCTCAAACTCTCATCAAGACTTTTCCTTGATCATTGCTCAGATTCCCCTCTTCCCTTCTTGATATGAAGTTTGTCTTTGGTGTTTTGTCAAATCATGCATTATTTTTTTTTCTTATTTGGATCTCATCTAGCTTAGCTAGTTTTATCTACCTATTTATTAAACATAAAAATATTCATATAAAATATCTATTTATAAGGGCAAATTATTGTGTCCGGATTCGTCCAGACACCATTCCGGTGTCGCCACATCACCAAAATAAACCGGGACCCAGTGTATTTGGGTGATGTGACATCACCGGATTGGATGTCCGAACATCCGGTGACCGGACGCAATAATTCGCCATTTATAAGACACTTATTTTGCTAGTAGCCACTTGTATAAAGCTTATAGAGAATTTATTTCATTTTAATAAAAAATAATGACTCGATACAAACAAAAATATGTCAACTGGTCCCTTACTGTTATGTAATTGCATGTGAGGATTGAAACTCCAATAATATTAAGTTCCTAAAACTAAATCATTAATTACCAAACAACTGAATATGTGTTCTGCTCATTTATTTTTATAATTTAACATAAAATAAAATATAACTAATATCGTCGAAATATATTATTTCATTTATTTATGCAGCGGTCTTGCTAGTGACGTCAAAAATAAATCGAGGAATCCCAGAAAAACAAAATGAGAAAGGCGTATTATAATTGGATCTCTAAAATAATACAGTGCGTTTACTGCCCAAATAAAAACAATACACTGCTGATTGACAATTTAAAAAGTAGAGGATTGTAAATTTTGATAGTCACAGAAAGAATGAAAATCAAACTCCTCATTGTATGCAATTCAGGATGATTGTGGATGATATCAGTTTGATTCCATTCACCATCTTCTATGATAAAGAGATCTGCAAGGAACAAAAACTTGGAACTCTCAACAGGAAGAAAATATCAAACTCAATAGAGAAATGTATTTTTTATATCAATGGAACTTTGTCCAAAGAAAAGTATAAAATACAATAAAAATTCAACATAGAAAAATGTTTTTGATATCAATGGAACTTTGTCCAAACAAAGGAATAAAATAAAATAATCAACCTCTTGCAACATTTTTTTTATTAGAACAAGTATATTTCTCTCTCGCTCCCCCTCCTTTCCTCTTTGGAGCTATTACTTTGTGCGGACACCGCACGGAAGAACCGTCTGGTTCCGCACTCGGTACAGAGCGATACCGAGCGCGGTACATTTTTGGAGTGACTTGGTGCATTTTTATTGGTCTCCGGACCAATCCAGACCCGCACGTAATAAATTTTCCCCTCTTTGGGCTGCTCAATACTCGTAAGAGGTGGCCAATTCAAACTGGCTGAAGCCACCACATCAAGCTTGGGTAAACTTGTTAAACTCCTACAGTTTTGGGGATCTAAGGTACATTTTAGTGTATTAACTTGACTTGGAATTGGGTTGTATGTGGACTCATTCACGTCAAGGAAGATATCTCCAAGGAATATTAGAATCTTGCTAATTTGTTTCCTTTACTGTAATATCTGCTTTCCATACTTACAATAGAATATTGAGTAGGATTGTTTCTTCGATCCTTAAGTGAATATTTCTACTTTTTTTTGTGGGGGGAAATAATATTTCTACCCTATAAATTGAGGCCTTCGTATCCCATTTTTCTAAATAAGATATGAAATGACAGTTTTTTGGATGAAAATTTTAGCAAGGGCAAGCAGATAAAAAGAGGAAAACTAGAGTGGTTTTTAAGTGGGTTTTGGGTTTTGATATAAGTTTTGTTGGGGTTAAGACCAGAGTTTAGGCCTTGAGGGTAAATGTTTATGTGAAGCACAATGGGGTAGAAGAAGAAGAGGGAAGGAGAGGGAGAATGGGAGAGGAGAACGAACACACTGGTAGAGAAAATGAATTTGATTGTCTTAACAACAGGGATGAGGGTGCGTTTTATAGCCACACTTTAATGTATTTGTGTAGTTGTGTTAACTGGAATTTACAAAAATAACCCCCAACACTAAAATAATAAAATCTTGACAACAAAAAAAAACTAAGGGAATTAAAAGGACCAATACAACAGTTATGTTTCTCAACTAGCTTCTATCTTGGGTTATTAGGTGAAGACCCTCCAAATATCTTAGTGCTGCTATGGGTTCTAAAAAGATTCAAAATTCCTTAAAGAAGACTATCGATTGATAAGATTCAAAGTAAACTTGCTAGTTCGAAAGTAGATTCTTGTCTAAAGATGAGAGACTCACTCTTATCATTATTGTTCTATCTCATATTAAATTTTAATTTTTTATTATCTATTTTCTTTGGATTCCTACTGGGTGATTAACCAAATTGATGCCTTAATAAGAATTTCTTCTAAAAGGAAACTGAAAATGGAAGGGCAATGAATTTGATCAACAAAGTCTATTTTAGGCCCAAAAAATTCGGTGGTCATGAGATTCTTAAACATAAGAGTTTTAACTCTCTTTTTGGGAAGAATTTGAAAGTCTAGTCAAACGGATTATGAATTCTTTGTTGCCTTGTTGGCAATATCATTTATGCTAGCATCTTAAACATAAAATCATTTGAATTTTTGGTGCAAACATCTACCTTTCCTAAATGTTAAGAAAAGTCTTCTAAATTTTTGGAATATTATCTTGGAAAGTGACCAATGGCACTCTACTAAATTTTGGAAAGAAGTTTTGTATTTCTCCTTAGCAGTTAAATTTTAACATCTCTTTTAATTCGCTAGGAATGTTGATTGCTATGTTTTCTCTTCATGTAATTCCAATGTTGGTTGGCACATTCAATGGCATAGAAATATTTCCCTTGCTTTCCTTAATTATGTGGAACATCTATGTTCTCTTCTTACTGGTTTTGATCTGAAAGTATCCAAAGTCATACCTATCTCATGGGCATCTTTCTTTTCCTACTATGTTAAATCTCTTTAAAAATTTCCCATCGATGGTGGTAATATCTCCTATTTAATTGTATTTGGAAGTCTAGAACTTCCAAAAAAGTTAATAGATCTAGACATTGTTTCCAAGCAAAATTCCTTAAAAATATTTTAGAACATCCGAGGGGCCGGTCTAGCCAGTCCAGGAGGG